CTACAGTAGATGAGAACACAAAGATAACGTATCTAAAGGCAAGTAACAGGTCCCAGAGTATAAACCCTTCTTACTATTATATGCCACATACATTTTACTTCACCTGAACAGTAAGTTTTTCGAAGACAGAAAGCCTGTATTCTTTACAACTCCCTCACATTTCCCAATGCTCTATACATTGCATATACTCAATCTCACTGACAAATGGACACACCTAAGTTGTGCAGAAGTAGTGGAAGGTTTCAGGGACACTTGGGTCTACAAATTAGCGTTAGAAGTTACTCCTTCCTGTTCTGTGCCTCCTTTCGAACTTTCCTCTCTTTACCCTTTCGAACAAACAAAAGAAGTCCTGAAAACGAATGGATTTAGATTTCAAACATTAATGGCCTACCAAACACCGGGGATGGGAGGCAAGCTGATTACAGAGGGAAGGGAATAACCGGAGCGAGGTCCAGCTGGCTGAGTCTAGGCACCCATGGAATAGGCTGGACTTTTGCGCCGAGGATCGCAGAGCGGGGTCCAAAAGACATCACTACGAGGTTCTCGTAGGACAAAAACCCCGGCCCATTCCAGGGCCCGGGTCTCAGCACAGGAAGGTGCCCAGTTGGGGGTGGGGGAGGAAAGGGGTGGGCGCGACAACAGAGAATACAGGAGTCAGGTCCCTCAGGTCTCCCGAGAGGTCGGGCACAAGACAGCTCCCCGAGACCCAAGGGTGGCGCCGGGCGGAAGCGCCGGGCTCCAGGCCCTCGGAGAGGGACTCCTCTGGCCCCAACACCGAGACGACCAGCAGGGCGAGCGGACACGCGAGGCCAGACCCAGGGATTCGGCCCGACTTGGATCTTACCATGGTGAGGGTGGTGGGGCGCACCCGCGTTCTGGCTCCAGAGGGGCTAGGGCCGGGGTCAGGGAAAGGAAAGCACCGGAGGCTCTAGATCAGCTGCCCCCCTGACAGGAGCCGCAGCCGCTTCGCCTCTTGCCAAGATGGCGGCCCTGAGCCACGTCTCAACCGGAAACTGCGCGGGTCAAAGGGCGGAGGGCGGGGCGCCATGGGGTGGGGAAATTGTGCTTGCAAGGCTAGAACGCGACTTGGCCGTGGAGGCACCGGGGCTCCCCGAGCAGTGGAACCTCATGCTTCTGTCCCTTCACTTTTTGTCAGCGACCTTGTTTAATTTGTGTTTATATTATAGTTTATAAAGCTCTTATAGTTTATAAAGCTCTCACAGCCACTATATCATTTACTATACAAAATAACCCGGTGAGCATAACGACCTAATAATATCCAGATAAGAACTCTTACAACTCAATAATAAAGACAAATAATCCAGTTTTTCAATGGGCAAAATAGACATTTCTCCAGAGGATATACAAATGACCAATAAGCACATAAAGATCCTCAACATCCTTAGTCCTTAGGGAAATGCAAATAACCACAATGAGGTACCACTTCACACGCACTAGAATGGCTTTAATAATAATAATGTTGGTAAGAATGTGGAGAAATTAGAACCCTCATACACTGCTGGTGGGAATGTAAAATAGTGCAGCTACTTGGGAAATAGTTTGGTAGTTCCTCAAAAAGTTAAACACAGTTACCATATGATGCAGCAGTTCCACTCATTGGTATATACCCAAGAAAACCAAAAGCATGTCCCCACAAAAAAGGGTACACTAATGTTCATAGGTGAGTTATTCATAATAGCCCCAAAATAGAAACAACCCAAATGTTCATAATAAATGACTGAATAGCAAAATGTGGTGTATCTACACAATGGATTATTACTCGGTTGAAAAAAGGAATAAAGTTCTGCTACATTATACAACATGGATGAACCTTGAAAATATTATGTTAAGTGAAAGAAGCCAGTCACAAAAGATCGTATCTTACAAAATTCAAGTTA